ATTTATATCAAATTTTATTCAATAAGTCCCGAAGTTGATGGAAGGATATATTATCCTGCTGAACAGATTATTACCATTGGATATGTTGGCCGAGATTTTCAGATTGAAGTTGGCCGAAATAATAAACCATTGCCAAAAATCAATAAATCGTGGTTAAAATCTCGAAGAGTTTTGGGGATGAAAGTTCTTTACAACATTGCAAAGAACTTATATGATAAAAAATTCAGATGCTTGTGCCAATATGAAGGATGGACACTCCTTACAAATAATGGAAAAGAAAAATCTACCATTTTGAAAGAATATATCCAGAAATTTGATACTCATCAAATTAATGGAAGTCCAACAACAATTCAAGAATCATGCAGATTGAGGGAGTGCCCCACATGTAGACAAAATTGAGAGATTGATGGATGGAAAATAACCTACCACTACCAAAGCATCTGGCCAGCTGCGTATGAAGACAAAGATGGAAAAGCAATAATAGAAAAGCATCTAGACAGCTGCATATGAAGCCAAAGTTGATAATGCAATAATAGAAGAAAAGATGCCACTTTGATGAAAAAGTAAAAAATGCATGTGAAGATGTAGACCCCAGGAGGAAAAGAATAAAGAGGCATGTGAGCCTTTTTTCAAAATTCTGATGTATGCAATGATGTAATAGATCAATAATAGTGAATTTGAGTCATGTATAAATAGAGGTCTTTGAGGAAAGAATGGGCATCTCGAGTTAGAAACCATTCTCTTTCCTTAAACTTTTTTCAAAACCAGTTTTTTTGAAAACCCCTTGTATACAATAGAAACCTTGTATAAATTATAGAAATGAAATTTCAATCTTTTGATATCAGAAAGATATGAGTTTCTAAATTTCCTATCCCATAGATTCTTGATAGATTGAAGAAAATAATTTCTTTCTTACTTTAACAAAGAAAGAATTTTCTTTACTTAAGATCTTTACTCTTAATTCTAAGAAAAGATACAGTGAGGGCAAGAAGTTGAAATAACAGAATTCCCATTGAGGCAAGAGGCCGTTTGAGGGAGCAGTTTGCAGATTCAGAGCCTGAAGGTCACTCAATTCTAAGAATACAGATTTAAGATCAAAAGTAAGGTAAAATTATTGTCTTTGTTAAATTTAGAAAGAATTCTTCTAATATCTTGAAAGAATCGTAGGGAATATTACTTTTCATGTTTACAAAAAACTTATATAACATGTTCAAAAAACTTGCAAGGAATTATCTGAATAATGCCAGGATATACGATTAAAGGATTAGATAATCTGTTAGAAAAACTATTAGAAAAAATAAGAAATATTTTTGCCCAACTAGAGACTATGGATATTTCAACTAAGGAATATGATAATCTTAGCAAATTACATGATAATTATATTACAGATTATGCTAGTTTATTAGATCAAAGAATGTAATTATATATTAAAACTCGAAAGGAGAGAAATAGAGGAATTTAGAACTATCCCAATAAATTAAGGATATCTTGTGCAAAATATGACAAATCCTTTCATTAAGGGTATTATAGACATTTTACCAAAAATGAATAGTAGTAGGTCATTTATAAAAATCTCCCAATGAATTCCATGGAACTAGGAAAATATTCAAACATTTTCCAGCTTCCTTGCCATGTAGACATTTTCCAAGTTTTGGTTCTAGGCCATTGTAGCAAATTTATTTATTTATTTTTGTTGATAATGGAAACAAATTCTAAGAATTATTATAAAAAAATGTTTTCCTTTAATTGATAATTTTCATGTAAAATAAAGTCAAATGAACATCAAAAGATAGGTGATTTTTTTGAATTTTTTTGTTTTGTTTTGTTTTTTTTAGTTGGCAATGGAAACAAACTTCATCTCCAATACGAGTAAATTCTATCTATTTGATCGACAATTTTTATGTAAAACAAAGTCAAACAAATATAAAAAAAAAACTTTTATGTCAACAATTTTCACGTGAAAAATTATACCAATCAAACACAATAATTTACAATTCTTAGAAAAATAATTTCTAGGTAATTCAATTCCCTGAAATTCATTTTCTTTCCATCCAAATTTTATTTTTGCAATCAAATGGACCATTAATATTAAATTGTTGTTGTGAATTTTCATAATAAGTGTTGGATAGTTGCGTAGATTTTAATGTAATTAATCTAGTGGTACATAATGAGGTGTATCTAAGAATGTATACTCCCCTCACATGGGTGTGGGGTCCACTTAAATAAGTATTTTTTTAGTCGGGTGAATCTCACACCACATGTGAGAGAGATGTACACATTTAGGTACATCCCTATGTACCACTAGCGTTACCGTTCCAAGAAAGATCCTAAATGCAACAAAATCATAAGATTGACGATGTCTCGTCAAGATTTAAAGGTTAGGGATGCATTTGAAGAAAATCAAAATAGTAGGGACCTATACTGCAATTTTCTAGTTTTACTATTAACCTTTTATTTTTTATAAATAATTTCGAAGGGCAAATTTTCCTCTTTTTATGTATATGTTCTCCCCAAAACAACGATAAACCCTCGGCGGCTTCGCATAGGCCTGAATCACTTTCGCAGTAATTGGGATTTATCTACTGATATTGGTAACGAGCAGATGAAGATGTCAGCACAGTTGGTCTCGGAAAAGCCGGTGTCTCTGTCGAGAGCTGCGAAGCTCCTCAGCAGATTTGCCTCCGTTGACAACGGCTCTTCCGGCGCCGTCCCCTTGTATCTGCAGCGCACTGCTGACGCTTTCAATCACTTGGTCCAGTTCCACAGCAAGCATAAAAATAACGACCTTCAAAATTACCCTGATATGAAAAGGGTTCAGAAACTGCAAAGAGACTGCGAGAATGGAAACCCTCAAGATAATGCAGAGCCGAGGTTGGATGAAGGAAACAGGAAATATACCAAGATTGGTCAGAGCAGCGACGAAAAGACGTCGGAGATCATCAATTTGGAGAATAAAGTGCCAGAGCAAGAGAAAAAGAAGAATAAGAAGAAGAGGAAGAGTGGAGAAACTGATGGGGGAGACAAGATTGAAGGTGAGAAGAAGGAGAAGAAGAGTAAAAAGAGGAGAACTGAGGTTGCTAACCGTTGATAGCAGTTGGTGGTGGATGGCTTCAGTTATGGTTATACTTGTTGTAATTTTTGAAGGTAATTATGGGCCAATGGATTGAATATTATTGCAATTCAATTTTCTTGGTAACTAGCTCAGTTTGTTGCAAAAAATTATCATCTTCTTAAAGGAATTTAGTTATATTCTCTTCAATGTGTTTTCACAATGACTTGAGCTTGCACCAATTGCCTTATTTTGAAAGTAATGGTTCAATTACGTAGAACTCTAACGTGAGAGGGCAGAGGTGATTAAGAAACAGATAACAAATAATATTTGAATGGGGAGGATCACAATCAAGGACTGGTAGAATTTATTAGTTGGAAAATAAAAAAGAACACCCACTTCTCTTTCATGCCCTTTCACCACAAGCATGCACAAAATTTGCCAAAACCATTCTGGAGGAGCTGTTGATTCAGCAATTTCTAGTCCTCATCGATCTGCCCTATATTGATTTTACTACACCACAATATTTGGAAAAAATGCTTTATGATTTTCCTTGGGTACGATTATTATCATTTTGAGTTTGCTTTTATTGCAATAACGGCCTTAAACTTTTTTTAATGCCACACTATTCTCCCCTGCTGGATGGGAACCTCGATTATTTACATATACCGTTCATATCAATAGGCTAGAGACAACCTGTTTCACTATGTAGAATTATTGTGGGAAATCAGTGCTTATTAGCATTCTATTTTAATGTCTATTTCACTCCTTTGGAATGGTTTTTTGTCAAACAGCTCCAAGGTTGCTTGCTTCAAGAAGATAACTATCTCTATGTTGGATCTTGCAACGTATTAGGCCTTTAAAATAAATTGTTGAAATTATGTGCTTGCAACTCCTCATTCTTGAATTAAGTTTTGGCAAAAGTGTAAATTGCGTCTCTTTTTGTTCATACAACTGATATCCGGAAGTCTTATTCTCTTTTTCTTTTCACTCCATCTCCTGATACTCAATATCTTAGCTATTTACTTCACCCTCTCTCAGCCGCTTCCTTATAGAAGAAAGCTTAGGACAACTGTCCCATGACGAGACGGGGAAATGTAAATTTTTGCCCAAATCATGGACATAAAACCATCTTTTCTTTGCAAAAACATATGAAAGATAAATAAAGGTCACAGATTAATAGGGTTGCCTGGTCCTGATTTAAGTGGGGCAACTTTGGGGAATCATTATAATATTTGTGATTGTTTCATCCCTTTTTCGAATTATCCTCCCTGACAATATGCTTTTCTTTGTGAGGTCACAGTCTGTAGCCTGTACTAATATTATATTAGATCACTCATATTGGTTTCTCTAATTAATACCATTATATGGAAGAAATTATAAATTGCATTTGGAATTAGTATACGTCTTCCTTTCCTTATGAGAGTATACTAAGAGTGACCATCGAATTTTCATCTGATTTTTGTGGTATTGTTGGTAGACCGGTTTTGATGAAATTACATTCTTAAAAAAACAGTTTCATAATTGCTGAATTGATGTTCTACAAGGTTTGTTGCCTGTAGATGGTTAATGCTTTCTCTGTTTGCCAGGTTTAAGGCTAACTTTTTGATTAATTACCTTCACTTGTTTTACATATTCAAAGAATTTTACATCTTCTGGATAATTTTGGATTTTCTAATCCTTCTTTAGCTTTATGAACTACATGAGATCAGTACGGAACTTTTGTGGTGTAGGATCTTCTTAGTAGTCTATTGAGATATTATTAGTTGATTTGTAGTTTTTCTTGTGTTGGATAATATTTACTTTTCTCGTTCAAGGTTCTGATTTTATTGGCAATGAGATATGTGGTCAAGGAATTCACCATCATTTGATTGAAAGTTGTGTAATTTAACATTTTTTTATTATAAATGACTCTTGTGGTCGAGGAATTCACCACCATTGTTGAAACTTTTACAAACTTTGAGACTGTAACCTTCAAGGGTTCACATACTGTGAAATAAAATAATGTTGTATGGGATATAGAATGATTTTCCCCCATTTCATATCTTGCGTCTTTTGTATTCTTGTAATTTATGATTTGTAAATGAATTAAGCATATTTTATTAAAGTTTATCAAGGATTTCTTGATTCTATTTTGAGCTTACTTTTAGATCTTTTTCTCGAGCTTTAAATGTCGTGTAGATTTAACAAAAAGTGACTTATTGCACTTGTACTAGGATTCAAATTTTTTTGTACTTATATTGGGGGTGTTTGAGACACATTATTTTGGTAATAATGCATTCTTGAATAATGTATTGATGGGAAATGTGTGGTTAAAAAATAAGAAATTTTTTTTGATTTGCGTGTAATATTATTTTATTGAAGAATATGTGGTTGAAATGATATCAAATCACTGTTTAAGAATGCATTTTTTTTTAAATAATGTGGTTCAAACAGGTCCATTGTTAAATTCTTACAACAAAAATACACGTTGGATTAGTTTCATTTCATTATCTTCTTGTATAGATCTTTTTGATTGATGACATCTAAGGCTAACGAATTGTCACAACCATAGATCTCTCGAGTTCAATCAGATCTAAGTTTTTCATTTCATGTGGTCGGACAAGGATTGGTAACTCATCTCCATCCTCATCGAACCCTACCTCAATCACACTAATAGAGACTTAAAATAGAGTTGCTCGGCCTTGTCTTTGAATAGATCACATCAATCTTGCAATTGCTGAACCATGCGCATTCCAATGTAAACTCATAACGGTAACAATTATTTGGATTCTGATGTAATATTTTCAAATTTTATGATGAAAAAATTGCAGCAGCTACGGGAGGAGAGGAGATAAGAGAAAATCCTGCAATTTCTTTCCTCTCTTCTGGAATTATTTCAAGTAAAATTAACTGTTTACTTCTTTTTCTCCTGAAAATAAGACATACAAATAAGACAATTTTAATAATAGATAGAATTTCTAGTACTTCCGAAAAATGAAAACTCAACATTCTATACTACTATTTTATTGATTCTGTCCATAGTGACATAAGTATTTAAATTTTTTCCCCTAATCGTGTCTAAATACTTCAAAAGTAATGCCACTATATTTGATGTTGTCGCGAAGTCAAGATTAGAAGGTTATAATTACTACAAAACAAACTGGACAAGTACATAGAGATCGTCGTGGGATCGTGGAGAGAGTCTCAATCGGTCTTCTCTAGGATTCCTTATCATGCCACACATGGAGATTTTTCTATTGATAGATACACCAATTTTGAACACCCGAACCATGATATGAAATAAGTCGATAAAGAAAAAATCTCCTATCTAAAATTAGAAACCCATCGATAAATGCACAGTCCAAATACTTAATGAAGAAAGAACAAAAAAGACTTTCTTTTAATTATGGACTTTCCGGTTGTAGGGTGAAACCAAATCTTCATCAGCGTCGGTCTTCCTCACATTGATGAAGACGAATTCTTTCCTTTGAAGGTTAGAACTAAATTTCTACAAAATCCAAATGTTAGGGATCTCTGCTGCAATTTTACTTGTAGATCAACGTTTTAACTTTGAAGGGTAAATTTGTCTTTTTAATATCCTTTCTCTTAAATGGTTCTCTTCACATTATACCCTAATCCCCAGACGCATCCGGTTCCGGCCTCACTGCGTGATGGCGGCTTCTTCTTCCACAGATAGAATCAACAAAGAAACGACGCGCAAGGCAGTCAATGCCCTCCTGAGATGGAAGAAATTGCAATTACAATCTGATTCACCAAATACTCATAAAGAAGATAATGATGATTTTATATACCTATCGATAACCCTCAAGAAGATTCCACCAAAGAACCTCATCGCGACTCCACACAGAATTCCTCTTCGATACTCTCTTCTGCCGCGCGATTTTTACCTTTTGAACCTCTGTCTCATAGTTGATGGCAAGAAAATCAAGTCAGAACTTGCCCGCCAAAAGCTAAAATCTTTAGACATGCCCATAAAACAAGTTCTGAAATTATCAAAACTGAAATCTGATTATAAATCGTTCGATGCCAAGAAAAAGCTCTTCGACTCATTTGATATGTTCTTCGCTGTTAAAGATGTGGTCCCTTTGCTTCCCGAGGTATTGGGTAAGGTGTTCTATAAGAAGAAGAGAAAGATTCCGATGCCTGTACACTTAAGCGGTGATTGCAATTGGAAAGAGGAGATAGAAAGGGCCTGCACTTCGAGTTTGTTGTGTTTGAGTGGTGGGACTTGCAGTGCGGTCAGAGTTGGGAGGTGGGGTGTTACGGAGAGTAAAGAGATTGTTGAGAATTTGTTTACTGCGATTGATGGGGTACTTGAGATTGTCCCAAAGAAATGGGGTGGGATCAGAGCCCTCCACTTGAAATTTTCGGATTCTTTGGCCCTGCCCATTTACGAACACCGGACTAAACTTGAAGCGGTGGGAAAAGAGAATTGATTTGCAAGAGAAGACTGACGAAAGAAAGGAGAGGATGAGGATAAGAGAAGATAATTTCAAGACAATTGATTTAGTTGCATTTCCTAGCAGATTGATTGTGGCCACTTTTGTTAAGGTTTGAGAAAAGAACTCAATTTTGGTATCATCTTTCTTTAGCAATAGTTAATGAAATACCTAAGATGATGACAGTTTTGATAACCATTATGAATGTTATGCTTCAACATATAAGTAATTCTTGGATTACAATTTTGAAGTTGACATTGCTCTTTGTGCGGATTGTGTTCTAATTACTGTCTTTTCTGATTGAATTTTAATACACGAATGTATTACCTAACAAACTTTTGTAGCTGACCCCTGAAATTTATTATCAGTTTGTGATTTCTTAGTCTTAGAACTCATCTAATTTGGGATAATAATTCCATTTGCATGTCAAATAGCAAACGGGATTAGTAATTACCTTAACCTTTATGGTATGTGGTGAAGTGAGTGCTACCTGGTCACATTCAGTGAGTTGAGAGATGCATTCTTTTTTGGGAACGTATTTCGGCTTCAGATGTACGATAGTATTGCAAGCTAGTTATTATGAGTTCTTATGAATCAAGACTCCAAATGATCGGTGGTTATAAGAAATTCTAGATTATAATTTAGAGTAATTCTAGGATTAAAATTTAGAGTAATTCTAGAGTGAACCAAATTTCACACGTTATGCTATACAACTAGAAGTACATTGCGCTTCATGAAAATCACGTTAACAATCCTACTAAACAAGCATGGAATGACAAATTTTAATTTAGAACAATAGTGGTAAAAGCATTCTTCTATCTCTCTATTCAAGTTTTCTCCAAACAATTATCAAGTTCTAGATTCAATATTGCTTTAGGCAGATTTGATCTGCTACCTACAACTGGCATGAATTATAATATCTACTGTGGGCGTGCAACATGTGATGTTACCATGTCATACTCTCACTGTAGATGNAAGCTGTGTAATGAGGACATCGGATATTTATTTATTTTATTTTATAGTTAAGTTTTATTTATTTTCTTGGACTATTATTTAGATAATTGGACTCGTATGGGCTCGGGCCCAATCTCGTTAGGGCTTGCTTTACTATTTAAACCTATTTTGCATTGTAATTTTTCAATTGATAATTGAATAAAATTATTGGTGGCTTGGAGCGAAAGCTTTCTCTCTTCCCCCATTATTCTTCCCCTTCTATTGATTCTTCTTCTTCTTTCATCCCCTCCCCCCCGATTTTCTTCTTTCTATTACTTGTTCTTCTCATTCTACATTTAATATTTTTATTGATATTGCATCAAATTTGGTATCAGAGACGAATTTTGGGTACTTTCTTTCTTACAATCCAAAATATATTCCTATTTTATTCACAAAATTTGTTGGAACAACACAATTTAAAACGATTTAGCGTAAGAGCAGCAGTTTTCATTCTTTCTGCTTTCTTTGTTGGTTGGAAAAAAAAAAGAGGGTTACTGTTCATCGTCCTGTTCACATATGAAAAAAAAATTTAGCCTTTTTCTGTAGTTTTACTAAAAGAAAAATTCCTGCTGCCGTCTCAATCATTTTGTTGCTCACTCTAAATCAATTTTGTTGTACTTTACCCTACTACCAGCCCAAATATCTACAAATTCTTCTAACCTAACCAATAACCAAGTCCAGTAAGCCATAACCCACGCAAGCCCAAACAACTTAACCATCCATAAATCAAATCCAAACCTACTAAGCCCATTACAAAACTAATACAACCCCCAGCCCAACTTAATTTTTAGCCTAAACTATAATCCATTGGTTCGGAATCCTTCAACCCATTTCAATAATATACCCAAATTCGGCTCATTTACGACATATTAACCTAGTCCATTAACACCAAAAGCCCATATCCATTTAATGCCACCCATATCCAATTTGGCCTCAACGCTAGTGTTCTTCTAGCAGCGTCACTTGCAGATGCCACCCACACCAGCATCCCCCAGCCGTGTCACTCGCTGGCAACCCTAAAAACCCCCGACAACGCTCTTCAATCGGAGTCCAGTCTCCTCACTTCCACTACACCATCTATCGATTTAGCCAAATCAACGCCATCACACCCGTCTTGGCCCCTACCTCCTTCGCCTGTAATAGCCACAAGCCACTGCCACTACTTTGCCGCGCTACTGTCACGACAATCGGATTCGTCCCGTCGGCCACCACTGCCAATCACCACAATATTCATCTCCCGTCACTGTACTCTTCCCCACAAATCAGCCCAATTGTCCATAAGAAATCCTAGCCGCTATCTCCAGCAAAGTCGCTTGCTTCAGTCTTAATTGCAGCAGGCACCACCGGTACCATCACCCATTCCAGCAGCTACTCCATCACATGCTCCACTTGCCACCACCAGTCACAAGCTGCCGCAACCAGCCCCATCCCACTGCCATCTTTCCAAACAACCACCACTATCATCCATAGTCCAGAATTACCTTCTGCAACGTCCAATAACAGCCAACAGCCACTCTCTTCACACGGTTCACCACCACAAAAACAAATACATTGCTGCTTCACGAGGTGCAATTGGAGTAGTTTCAGAAAGTGAAGACATTTGATGTTGGTGCACGGGACACAAGCTGGACTGAAATCCACACGTAACAATTCCGACCAACTGAACTCAGGGAGTCACTACTCTTATCTATTTTTAGTTGACACTATTGCTTTATTTAGAATTGCATCAATTATTTCTTTGTGTTGCTATTATTTTGATAATTTTAGCCTTAAACCTACTTGATCGGAATTCGCGAACTAACTTTCATTGTTCACCCGTTTACCCCATGTGACTAGGCCTATCATTGGTACCTTTGCTTTTTATTTTATTCGCATTAGTATTATTAGCTTGCAAAGATCGGACCTTACGTAATCCCATTTTTAATAAACACAAAAAAATAAAATAAAAATAAAAATAATAAAATTTCAGATTGCTAATCTACTGTTGGCACTCGTTGTTTATTGATCTCTATAGCGCACTTCACTTAGCTAGTGTTACCGTGTATGCAATTGCGTAGTGGTCGTGTTACTGCTTCTAGTGCTAGTACTCTTGCCATGGACCCTTCCCAAATTGAAGCTCTCACCCGACAGTTGGCACAATTACAAAATTAATTAACGGCTGTCCAAACTGAGGTAGACGCTACTCGTGAGGAGAATAAAGCCCTAACCGCTAGGTTGAACACTCTTGATCCAAACCCACATTTGACTGGAGCTGAAAACTCTGAAGCTTCTATTAATAGATCTCATCGTTGTCCACAAGGTGGTCGACACCACGCCAGACATGATCGTAGGGAGGGAAATCAGGCTCGTGGACGAGAGCGGGAATATCACCGTCATGGTACACTATCTCCCCCTCGCCACGAGAAGCGCATCTTTCGAAACATTAAGTTAGATGACCCTACATTTGATGGTTGTCTAGATCCTAGTGTATTCAATCAATGAGTTAGAGATATGGATCGCTTCTTCGCCTGGTATGGAGTCTCTGAAGATCAGAGGGTACAATTTGCCAGTTTGAAATTAACTGGCACTGCGCAACTTTTTTGGGAAAGTGTTGAGGACCTCCTAGAGAGGCGTTATGCTCTCCCTGTTGGGAGTTGGGATGAAATGAAGCGTCGCCTTCAAGAAAAATATTTACCTCAATCTTACAGGGGTAACTTGCTGGATCAATGGAACGCACTTACGCAAGGCAGTCGACCTGTGACCGAATACGTTGCTCAGTTTGATGAGTTCCGAATGAGATGTCAGGTCGTTGAGGATGAGGTCATGACCTTGAGTAGGTTTAGGCAAGACTTAAGGGATGATCTTAGACGTGAGTTTGTCCTTAGAGGCGTCACCACTTTTGACCACGCCTACTCTTTCGTTCGGGATTACGAGTTAGTGACTAGGACACCATATAGAACTCGTAGTGACATCCGCACTGCAACCTCTTCTGCATCCACTCCATCCCCTAAGTTTATTCTAGGACCTTCTTTTTCTAATGCTACCCCTGCATCGGATAGTAAAGGTAAATGTCCTGAGGTTTCAAGGACGTCCTCCGGTTTGGAATGCTTCAACTGTAAGGGTTTTGGTCACATTTCTTCTAAGTGTCATAGCCGAGCCCTAGTTATGGAAGAGCGTGAAGGTATAGTCGACGAGCCACTAGAGGACCAAGTTTACGAGCCTAAGTTAGAAGAGTTTGATCACTTGGAGGATAGTGAAGATACCTTCTTAGGTTGTATTCAAGCTAGTCTCCTTATCCCACATACGCATAGAGTCGGTGTCGTTCGTTGCACTCTTACCTAGCCTAGGGATGTCGATGATTGGCGATGTCATGCCATCTTCCACACTTACATCAAGATTAATAACAAGGGCTGTAAAGTTATCGTGGATAGTGGCAGTTACATTAATGCGGTTTCGATGGCTACTGTATCCTGTTTAGAGTTGAAGTCAGTTCCTCACCCTCAACCATATAGCGTCTCTTGGGTTGATGCCTTCCTATAGCTATCAAGTAGCGTTGATTAGTGCCACGTGATTCCTATAACGTGATTTTATATCGCAAGCGCACGGTGTCAAGATTTGTAGTATATTAAAGAATTGAAAAGTGTCGAACCCACAGGGATTGATATTCGACTTCCACTGAGTACTATAATTGTGTCCGCGTTTACTTTATCTAGACAATCGAGTGTTAAATTAATGCTTAAATACTAAACTAACGTCAATGAATTAAATAGTGCAATAAAAGTGAGGCAATTTCTAAAAACTAAATCAAAATTACGTAATGTCTAGGGAGTGATTTCACCGTATTCTCGACATAATTCTCAATCCCTATAGATATTTCCATCAACTATTTCCCGAATTCATAGGCAAGAATCCTAAATTAATTCTATTTCCCCCTCTCTAGCGTCAAATAGAACCTATCTCTATATTTTAACCCCAATATCTCTATTCCGAATTAAATATATAAAGATTATCACGCACTTGGCTCT